ATATACAAAATTACAGGGGCATTGCAACAGGGGCATTGCAACTGTCCGCTAATACTAAATTATTTGAAAAAATAATCACTTCGAATTTGCAGCATTTCTGCAAATCAATTGTCTCCCCTGTTCAACATGGATTCGTAAAGAATCGGTCAAATACGACCAATCTGCTAGAATTTACTTTCTTGGTAAACGATGCTTTCCTTTATAAAATGCAAACTGATTTCATTTACACTGACTTCAGTAAGTCGTTTGACTCTGTGCACCATGATATTTTACTTTTTAAACTTGACCGATTAGGTTTCCCTCCTTCTCTTTTGCTCTGGATTAGCTCTTATTCAAAAGGTAGGACCCAAAGAGTAATGCTGAGGCTGACTACCTCTAAACGGGTTCACGTTACTTCTGGTCTTCTACTTCTACTTCTGATCTCCCCTCTGATATATCACATGCCCGTGTACTAATGTATACGGACGATGTGAAGCTTATTCTATCATACACTAATCCCCTACATCATTCTCGTCTACAAGACGAATTGAACGCTATGCAACTTTGGTGTTCGGCCATCAATTGCATCTAAATTGTTCCGAGTGTATGTTTATGACATTTAATCGTACTACACCTTATCTTGTCAGTTATACAATCAAAAATACTCCATTGCAACGTATACTAACAGTTAATGATCTAGGCGTTCTTTTTGATTCTAAACTCTTCTTCAATCTTCCCATAGATACCACCGTTAGTGACGCGAAAGGTGTACTTGAGTTCATTAAACGATAATCTAAAGAGGTTAACGACCCGTTTATAACGAAACTTCTGAACATCTCTCTTGTTCGCCCTATCCTTGAATACTGCTCTTTCATCTGGTCTCCGCAGTATAATTGCATCTGTTTAGAAGCAATTTCTGCTTTTTGCCTTACGAGGTTAATCTTCGGTTGCCGTCCTACTCCAGCAGGCTGCTTCTTCCTAATCTTCCGTCGTTAACTAACCGTAGAACAATTCTCGGTGTTGTCTTTCTACATAATTTGGTTGTTGGCGATATAGATTCACCTTTTCTGCTAGGGCGTTTTCAATTCTCTGTTCCGGCTAGACCAACCAGAAATTATCGCCCCTTATTCCTATCAACGTGCACAACAGACTACGCTATGCACAATCCCTTTCGCGTGCAATGTAATAATTACAATAGTTTGCATCACGTTTTCTCTACCGAACTTTCTCTACCCCTTATGAAATCGTTGCATTCAGGATACCTTCTGGAAGTCACTGACCATTCCCAGCTATGAGCAGGCTATACATATTCCCCCACCGTCGGTGATTTCCCATAACTTTATATTTATCCTATCTACTTAACACTTTATATATCTAGCATAAATTCCTTTAATAATATAGTATTTATAATATATATATATATATATATATATATAATAAATAATATAGCAAATTAAGTTTATTTTAATTTCACAGCTGGCCGGACTAGCAAATAAAATCACTTCTAGCGGTTAGTAATGCTATCCGAAAATTGTGTACTCTAATTAGGCTTTTAGCATTAAATTTGCATAATGTATTAAATAATTAGGAAGACACTCGTTTTGACGACCAATAATAAATAAATAAAAAATCTAAATGTGCGCACATCCACACAACACAAACATACGTTTGTTTGTAGATCTCGGGGCCTTTGAGAAGCTATGTAGGGAGAAAGAGATGTACACAAGCACGCAAAGCAATAAGTGGGAGCAAGGCAAACTCTGCACATGTATAGACACATATGTTTTTGGGCTGTAAGGATTTAATTGGTACGGCTAATGGCGGAAATTTTAAAAGGCCGATCCACAAGTTGGCGCGGCTACCCGTGGAATGAAGCCCCCAAGCGCTTCATCTTGGCCGGCGTTGGCGCAGATCCGCGTATTGATTTACAAATTTAATTTGAAAACATACAGCTTTATCACTCGCTCTGAGAGCTAATTCGCCTCGCTTCGCCGCCTTAGCGTAATGTAGGCTTAAGTCCGTTGTGGAATTAAATCGAAGCGATACGCTCTGAAGCGCATAATTTGACATTTTTTAAGACAGCAAATTTCGGGTTTGTTTATTACATTAAATAATACAATTTTTCAGTGTGATTTGCACTTGAACTTGATCATTTTATTTTTATTTTTTTCTTATATATATGTTTTTTGTATTGACTCAAGAATAGCATACATTTTTATTACAACACAGTTAACTTAGGTGATAGTTCTTCAAGCCTAGTTGGGTCCTCAGGCGTCAAAGGCGTCTTCTTTGAGTAAGGCTGCATCGTCACGGAGGTAGTCGGGGGGCTCTGGGGCGTCTCCTGCGTCGTGGTTGGAAGAGATCCTTAAAGGATCTTCTCTTGAGCCTCCTGACTACAAAACTCCCAGCGAGGTCTCTTGCTACCCGGTTACAGTGTCGCTGCAGGCGTTCGTTACATCGGTTGGCGAATGCTTCGAAGTGGCTGTCTATAGTTTCCATTTTGAGGTCCCTGTGCAAGGTAGAATTTTGGACGTACCAGTCAGCACCGGCCATTCGGCGCAAGGCCAAGTTTTGGAGTGTCTGAATCCGTCTTCGATTTGTACGAGATGCAATTCCCCAAACCTGGATACCGTATCTCTAAGTTGGCGCCACCACGACGTTGTTAACTGCCCGTTTGCAGCGAATTGGTAATGGGCTGTTGGGGTGTAGTAGCCAGTCTTAAAGCGGCACTGCTTTAGAAGGCCGCCGATGTGCGCTCGAAAGGTAAGCCTCTTACCCAGTACAATTCCCAGATACTTGGCGCTCATGCCAGGGTGAAGGGGGCTGCCATCTATCCAGTTTGCTGGAGCCTTTCCACGTCTCAGTGTGTAGTTGACCGCCTGGCACTTTGAGGCATTGAGCTTGATGTTCCACCTGCGAGCGCCAGTGGGCGGAGTAAAATATTGCCACGTCGTCAGCAAATGTGGTCATCAAGTGTTTGCCTGGGGTGGCGAACTCATGTAGGTAGCGCAAAAGTAGAAAGAAGGGGGCGGGAAGACTCATCTTGATTTTCTGGAGCAATCCATCTATCCAGACTCGGTCGAAGGCCTGCTTAACGTCTACAAAGACTCTATAGCAATAGTCTTTGTCGTCGTAAGCCTTAAGAATATGATTAATCACTCTGTGAACCTGTTCAACAGCGCCATGCCCACCCCTGAATCCAGATTGGTGATCAGGAAGAATAGCCATTTGATCCATAAGCCTAGTAAGTCGGGCGACAATCAGTATTTCCCAAACCTTCGACAAAGAAGGAAGGAGACTGCTCGGCCGATATGACTCAGGGTCATATTCCGGCTTGCCCGACTTATGGATCATATGGATCCTCGCTAACTTCCACTGGGCAGGGAAGTGTTGCGTCCTTAATATGGCGTAGAAGATCAACGTTATAAAAAGGAGAGCGCACATTGGCAGGGCCAACTTCAGAGAGGTGTGGCATATTCCATCATGGCCCGGTGCTTTAGCCCTAGGAAGGGATTTGACGACGTTGATTACCTCCTCCACGCGGATGGGGCCAATAGATGGTGACATCTGAAGTGGAGTCTCCAACGCTCTGGTAGTCTCAACGAGCACTTCTGGGGAGGCCAAATCGAAAGGTGTGAACCGTTCTTCCAGATGGCTGGCGAAGGTATCAGCATGCTCTTCGTCTGTAAGGCAGTATGTTCCATTGTGGAGAAGAAGGGGGACGGTTCTCCAGGGTTGGCGCTTCAGATTTTTAGTTGCTGGCCAGAGCGAGCATCCTGAGTCATGGGCATAGTCCATGCTCTCCAGCCTTTGGAAAATGATGCGTCTTTGTGTCTGGGGCCTACTTTGTGTGAAGGGCCTACTTGAGTTGCCGCTCCGCTCTTCGCCACTCCGCCTAGTCCGACGGATGCTGAGTCGTCTGAAACCTGCGTCTGCATAGCAGGTTGGCTATATCTGCAGGCAGTCCGTTGCCAGCAAAATCCAGCCGCCTAGCAACTGGTGAGGGAATGGCTTCGGATGTTGCTGCGTGAATCTTTGCGTTAAGCAGCTCAATGGCTTCCTCTACATCCAGTCCAGTGCCAATTTCAGTATTGAGATGTATACTATCACTCATCTGTCTCTGGAAGACACCGATATCAGTGCGTGAGTTAATCAGCCTCGGTATTGCGCTGACCACTCTGCCCTGGGTAACTATCAATGCCAAGTGGTCGCTCGCGAGGTCCCAATCGTCAGCGAAGGAAAGGAGCTGGTCAGAGATGCAAGACAGAGTACCTCTGCTGCCGTACGTCAGCTCTTAATTTTTATTATTTGTTACACATTTTAATTTTATCGTAAAATACAGTGTTTTCTGTGTTGTATGTTAGCACCACCAACTGTCTCACTTCGCTTTCCATGCCCATTTTATACATTGTTGTCCATGAATTCACTTTTATCTGATCGTTTGTTTTTGTCTTAAAACTTCTTACTTTCTTTTTTCCTATTTATTGTATTTTCTTTATTAATATATTTATTAAGAACACTTTTTTCCTACTTACAACCTTACAACCTTATGCTTAGATGTAGGCTCTAATAGCGTCACTGACAAAATTAGCTGTGACAAGGGGCACAGCTGGCCGGACTGGCAAATAAAGCACCTCCATCGGTCGGTGATGCTATTTAATAAATTGTATTCTTTAACTAGGCTTTTAGCATATAATTCTGTTATCTATTTATAATCTATTGAATAATGAGGAAGACACTCGTTTTGTCGACCATAAATAAATAAATAAATCTGATATAATGGCAAAAAAAAAAAAAAAAAAAAAAAAAAAAAACATAAAAATAACAAAAATGGTCTAATTTTTCCCTTGAAAAATAAAACACAATTGTAATATTAATAAATAAATAGTTTATTAAATATATTTTATACATAACATTAAATATAACAAAAAAAATTTTTTATTTTTTTCCTACTTCATAAAAAATGGCTTGAATACATATTGTAGTGGATTCCAAACAATAGATACTTAAATATTGACTACTTAATGCTTGGTCTCTTCATCCAAATCGGCAGCAAAAATAGGAACAACTTCCATTCCTTTTGATTGCAGTTCCATTGCTTTGTCATTTGTTCCGGGTGACACGCGTACTTCAACACTTACATTACTTTGTTGTTTTTCATGCTGCTCATCTTCCCCATACTCCTTTTTGTCGTCTTGATACTGGTCATCAGAGCGACTCTGCGCTCTATGATTCTGTGGAAGTGGCGACGACAATTGCGGTTGCTCAATGGCAGTTAATATGGACTGCAGAAGACCTTGCGACAAGATTTCCTCATGATTCGCATTTGGCTCACTAAGGGCAGCATCGTTGACATGGTTGTCCTTGATTAATTGGCTGTCAAACTGTACTTGAAAGTTCTGAGTTGGTTGCACGGTGCTTGTACCTAATTGAATGCTTTGCGACTTTTTTGCGGAGATCACATTCAAGCCGTTTAGACCCGGTAGCTGCTGTGGATCTGTTCCATCTGGTAGTGCCTGAACTGCTGACTTTTGTGAGGCATAGCCGGAGGGATCCAAATCTATTTCGTTCCCCGAAGGTGGTGGGCCGTAACTGTCAGCGGGGCCAGCTAAAAACTGTGTATGCTGCTCAGCTACAGGGACGCTCTGTGCAATAGCATTATAGGCATCAGGGGATGCCGCCGAGACGCTGCTAAATTGTTGCTGTTGATGCACTTGGTAGCCGGTACTACTGACTAGGTTTGGCCCTTGGCCACAATTGTGTAGCGCTACCTGGGGCTGTTGGTGCTGTTGAGGACCCACCCCTGTCGATAGAACTGTTTGTTGGTTAAACTGTTGAACCTGCTGCGTTAAAGGAAGTGCATGCGATTGGACAAATGGTGGTGTATACGTCGAGATGCTATAGCTGTTTTTTACGTGCTCGTTCTTCCGATGGATATTTGCAGCCTGTTGATTTGACAAATAATGCTGCGCTGCCAGTGGTGGATGCATGTAGTTAGACTGTGGTACCTTTAATAGAACTGGAGAACCATACTCCTGCAAGTGAGCAAGCTTCTGATGTGCAAAGGCGGGTCCGTATTGCGGCTGCGGCAGTTGCTGCTGTACAATAATTTGCGGTGGCGGCTGCTGCTTCAGGGGTGCTCTGTTAATGGCCTGCGACGAAGATGATAAACCACTTAATGCAATTTCATTAGCGGCAGGTGGAATATATGTGGGGGTCTGCTGCGGTGGTTTTTCGCCAAACTGATCCAGATGCTGCACTGTGGCGCCTATAGATTCGATAAGACCGGCAGGGACGGGTGGACGGAAGAATACTGGTGATTTAGGAGACCCAACTCCATGTTGTGGATTGCCAAATTGTGAGCTGTACTGAATGTTTACGTTGGAATGAAGTTGCGAGTGGGTTTGGGACTGACCATAGCTGCTTGTAAGAGCAGAAATATGCGGCGCTGGTCCTTGTGCTAGTGGTAAATTGACGCCAAGAGTGCTACCACTAGTGTGATATTTGTAGTCATGCATAGTACCAGGCGCAAATGAATCTGTTGGTGGCTTAGAGTAAGAATCATCAATTGAGCCCTCGGAGTTCTAGTTGCAAATTTGAAGAGAAATATACCAGTAAAATAATTATTTTGAACTGATTTCCATATAGTTACCCACTTGCAAAGCTTCAGAGTGAATGATGTTTAGAAGACCATTGCTGCTTGCTTCTGTTTTTCCGTTAATGGTCTCGTCCTGCAGAGCGACTGCCACCAGTTGTTCGTCAGAAAGCCCGTCAACAATGTGGTCGTCAGTGGCTCCACCCACATTGCCAGTGCTCTGGCTCTGGCCCACATGACTGTAACCGCCTAGGGTATCAATGTGGTTCTCTTCAATAAAGGTACCTATGGGCGCTGAAATTGGCTTCCAGCCATCACACGCAGTGTGAAAAGGGGCCAGCGATCCAGTCACGCTGTGAGTATGTCCAGAAGTATCAATCTGGATCTGCGCCTGCTTAAAGGGAATACCACCTGGTCCGCTTGGTAACCGCTGTAGGTCAAAATTCTCTGGCACACGATTGAAAGACGCGGATTGATGTGCAGGTAGATTGACAGGCAGCGGTGGTGGGCCGTAGTTTGGTGGTGTTTCGTAAACTGACTTGGATGGCAGATTCAATGGTCCGGAGGCGGGTGGGCCGTAAGACGTTGCTGGCTGATGAAATGGTTTATACAACTGAGTGGAATAGGGTAAAGGCCGTGGTGAGGCAGGAGGTGTAGAAAATTGTGGTATTTGTGACGGCGGCCGGTACTGTGGTGCTAAGTGATGCTGCTTTTTCGGCGACGGCGGAGCATACTGTGAAACTGCTAGTGATGGTGGACCATACTGTGATTGGGGCTGCGCTGGTGGACTATAATGAGCAGGTGGCGGTAAGCCATACTCTAGTGCTGGATTATGATGTATGTGCGGTGGTCCATAAAAGGGCTTGGGAATGCCAAAATGGTTTTTGATTTGCTCATATAAGCCATTCGTGGACGATGGTCCACTAACACCACCTAAAAATGGTAGCTTAGGAGAGTCATATTTCAATGCCGGCGGACCGTACTCTCGGAAGGGAATCTGCTGTGGCACGCCGTACTCAGGAAGTCGTAAGTGATTTTGTTTAGGTCCGTACTGTGGTGCTTGCCTAGGCGGTGGGCCGTAGTTATCAAAGCCCACCTCACGTCGCTTGAGCTCCTTTCCGCTAAGCACAGCCTTGGCAAAGCAAAAGCACAATGTCGTCATTAATATAATCCGAAGCAGCATCTGAGTAGAAAAAGGACCGTAAGAAATTAAAAAATATTTCAAACTATAAATGGAGAAGCATTTTATCATAGCAAACAGGCAACATAAGACTCGGTGCGCAACGTTGAAAAGGTCTGCTTAATTATTGTTTCCCCAAGGCAGTGAGTTACAATCTGTGTTGGGAAAATGTCGATAATAGAGATTTTTGCTGCATTCTACATATCAATTCTCGTAACACCAGCTCTAAAACTTGGAAAAATAGCGTTTTTCGTTAACCACAGGCGTGGCGTGGACAAACACTGTTGACATTTTATTTGGTTATCCTAAAACAACAATATTCTCAAAATATTCATGAAAATGTCATTTCAATGTAATTTGCTCACAACACTCCCTATTCACAGACGTAGGATTCGTAAGAATACAACCAGTATCTTACAAATACTCAAACCGGAAAGATCGTCCATTTGGTCCTTCGAGCAGTGCAGTAATAACAACAGAAAAAAGTCGCAATTACAATGCTGTTAGAAAGCGATAGAATGCGAAGCATGTACAGGTGTGCATGTATACACAAATTCTTGATGTTTTCGCTAGCTGTGCCATCCAATTGCGCAGTTTCATATAGCTTTGGTTTTCTCTTAACCGATCTTAATGAAATGAACAGTATATCTTATTGTACCATAGAATATTTGTGTATTCTCAAAAAGTCAATTGCATTAAAATTGTGTCTTAATTTGGGTGGCATATAAGTTAACTTGATTTATAGCTCTGTGGTGTTAGCGGGGAGGTGGCAATAGGTATAAAATGAAAGATACTTGATATATATAAAATATTCTAGAAGCCACATATCAAGTTTTCTTTATATTTACCAAAATTGTTTAAAAAAAGCAGGATGTCGATATCGATTTTTATCGATTGCTTGGAAACGGAGTAAGTTACAAAAAAGCTTCAGGCCATCACCTTTGCTGGCCTTCCGCAGAATATTCACAAACGAACACGTGACACCGAGTCTCACTTTGACCCTCTGTAAAAATATATCTCACACCATATTGTACAACTGCAGCCAGCAGCATAAAAATATATGGTCGCTTAAGATTCTATAAGTGACCTACGCTAAAAATGATCATTTTAGAATAATAAGACACTCTGTTAGTATATAAGGCCTAGGATTCGTTAGAATAAAATCAGAATCTTATAAGTACTCACAACGGATAGATTGTCCACTCCTTCAAAGAAAAAATTACTTTTAATATGCTGAAGACATTGAAAATAGCTTAAATGGGAATAATGTATTTCTGTAAATGTATAAAACAAACAGAAGAAGCATCTTCAACCCCATATACTTTTTATTTTATTCCTTTTAAAGTAGTCTACAAAATCGATCAAATTCAATATCGAAATCTTTTTAAAGTATTGCGCGTCTGACGCGAGCCCTTATTTTTAATGATTTTGGGTTTGAATTGAAAAACTTGAATATGATAAGTCAATAATATCATAAATACTATAAATACATATATGATCGCTCCTTTATTGTATTTGGTATACTTGAATATTTTAAAGATTTTAATTCCGCTTGTCATCAAATTATTTAAGTGATCAGGCACTTGACCTACATATGCAAGTGCAGGTGCTTGCCAAGTGTTTGCCCTTTCGGTCCAACTGGCTGTTACAGGTAATAAGGGGTCAACACTCATTCGTCAATTCAAACCCGAAGTCATAAAAAAGAAGGGCGCGCCTCAGACGCGTGCCAATAATTAAATTTTCTTTTGCGCCCATGATCTGCCCAAAAGGGTAGAAATGCCACCGACTTTTGAAAAAATTTAATTTGTGCGCATTTTTGTTTGTCGGACACATACACACACACACACATTTAAACGATCCCTAAACATGAGAGAGCACAGAAAGTAAGTGCGAGCGGAATAAAAATAAACAGCGTTGCCGTTCTATCGCACAAATCATATGGAAGAGAGTAAGCCAAAGCAGTTTCCTGTAGTGTATGCGAATAAAAAGACAGATGTCTCCGATTATTTTTTGTCCACTATGGTTGTTCAGCATGTCCAGTCTATATGTTATTTGGTTAGTGGTTTTTGGTATTTCCAAACATTTAAATGCCATAGTAAGCGGTCAGTGAAGCACGCAGTGTAAGCTGTGCAATCAGGGCATCTCATACTCGGGCAACTGCGACTAGAACAATCTTACATGTTTTCTTTAGCTTAATGCTCTTTTTAAAATTGAACCATCATTTATGACGCGATTGTGCCTGCGTGCAATAGTACAATCTTACCCTAGATCTTCATATTAGACATTCTTAAGACATTTAATAGCCCCATTGTCCCCATTGTGGAGCAATCGAAAAACTCTTAAGAGCTAGTTAAGGAAATCAATACTGCTCTGTCTGCTCATATTAATTTTTATTGATAATAGAGTTTTTTGAAATACCTCTGAAAAAAGAATACTTTGCATTATAGGATCCTAATATATGTACATGCATATACATATACATATACATATACATATACATATA